ACGGAATGGTATTTACAGGAATATTAAAATTCATGTTTAATCCAAGGTACGGACTCTGAAAATACATAAATTATAATAATTACCTATCTTTCGTATTATGAATTCAATAAACTGAAAATATTGGGTTATTTCCCTTCCATGTTTGGAAATCTCTGTGTTAAAATAATCCTGTTGTTTATTAATTCACCGTATACGAGATTTAACATTTTATGTCAAATTTCAACTATCTCATAGTTATCTAAATATTTTAGTTTCACCAGATTATTGATCTCGATTCTAGATATATGCATTTTAGTTACAATATTTACTTCACCAGCTGCGAGAGCTCAATTTCAGCTATCTGTATAGTCATCTAAATATTTACTTTACCAGCTGATAGAGCACAATTTCAGCTATCTGTATAGTCATCTAAATATTTACTTTACCAGCTGATAGAGCTCAATTTCAGCTATATGTATAGTCATTTAAATATATACTTTACCAGCTGATAGAGCTCAATTACAGCTATCTGTATAGTCATTTAAATATTTACTTTACCAGCTGATAGGGCTCAATTTCAACTATCTGTATAGTCATCTAAATATTTACTTTACCAGCTGATAGAGCTCAATTTCAGCTATCTGTATAGTCATTTAAACATTTACTTTACCAGCTGATAGGGCTCAATTTCAGCTATCTGTATAGTCATTTAAATATATACTTTACCAGCTGATAGAGCTCAATTTCAGCTATCTGTATAGTCATTTAAATATTTACTTTACCAGCTGATAGGGCTCAATTTCAACTATCTGTATAGTCATCTAAATATTTACTTTACCAGCTGATAGAACTCAATTCCAGCTATCTGTTTAGTCATCTCAATATTTACTTTACCAGCTGATAGATCTCAATTTCAGCTACCTGTATAGTCATCTAAATATTTACTTTACCACCTGATAGAGCTCAATTTCAGCTATCTGTTTAGTCATCTCAATATTTACTTTACCAGCTGATAGATCTCAATTTCAGCTACCTGTATAGTCGTCTAAATATTTACATTACCAGCTGATAGAACTCAATTTCAGCTATCTGTATAGTCATCTAAATATTTACTTTACCAGCTGATAGAGCTCAATTTCAGCTATCTGTATAGTCATATAAATATTTACTTTACCAGCTGATAGGGCTCAATTTCTACTATCTGTATAGTCATCTAAATATTTACTTTACCAGCTGATAGAGCTCAATTTCTACTATCTGTATAGTCATCTAAATATTTACATTACCAGCTGATAGAGCTCAATTTCAGCTATCTGTATAGTTATCTAAATATTTACTTCATTAGATAAAAAAAAAAGCTGTAGAGCGCACTATCATTAAATAGATAGCATAAATCAAGTTCTATCAACTGGTAATGAAAATATATAGATAACTTAATCACTTTAAAGAGAACTGATTGAAACAAGAATTGATATGTTATATGTTAGTTTAAAACTTACAGGACAAGTGGAACTGGGTAAAGATGAGTTGACAATGCTGGAGGTATAAGATTGTTGACGTAAACAAGAATCAAGATGTTGTCTCTGTTTTATAATGGTATCTGAAATATAAGCATTTTTTGTATTTTAATATTAAAATAAATAGACTTTATCAGCCATAATACGAAGTCTCGGTAGAAGATAGATGATGGACAACAAACCTTCTCAAGAGATTATAAACAAGTGAGGTTCACAAAACAAATTAGATACTAATATATCGAATTTTGACTTCAGTTAAGGGCAGTAACTCAAAAACAGTTTGTCGAAACATCGTTAATTTCAATGCATCTTAACCAATTACATCATTATTTGATATTTAATTTCGCCTTCTCGTCATCCCGTCAGAGTGTCAACACTGTCAACATAGCTAATAATGTTAATATAAACTGTAGAGTAAAATACTTACCACAAGTATCACTTATAGTATATTGAGTAAAAGAGTGAAAGACTTACCACAAGTATCACGTATAGTATATTGAGTATTACAGTAAAAGACTTACCACAAGTATCACGTATAGTATATTGAGTATTAGAGTAAAAGACTTACCACAAGTATCACGTATAGTATATTGAGTATTACAGTAAAAGACTTACCACAAGTATCACGTATAGTATATTGAGTATTAGAGTGAAAGACTTACCACAAGTATCACGTATAGTATATTGAGTAAAAGACTTACCACAAGAATCACGTACAGTATATTGAGTATTAGAGTAAAAGACTTACCACAGGTATCACGTATAGTATATTGAGTATTAGAGTAAAAGACTTACCACAAGTATCACGTATAGTATATTGAGTATTACAGTAAAAGACTTACCACAAGTATCACGTATAGTATATTGAGTATTAGAGTGAAAGACTTACCACAAGTATCACGTATAGTATATCGAGTATTAGAGTAAAAGACTTACCACAAGTATCACGTATAGTATATTGAGTATTAGAGTAAAAGACTTACCACAAGTATCACGTATAGTATATTGAGTATTAGAGTAAAAGACTTACCACAAGTATCACGTATAGTATATTGAGTATTAGAGTGAAAGACTTACCACAAGTATCACGTATAGTATATTGAGTATTAGAGTGAAAGACTTACCACAAGTATCACGTATAGTATATTGAGTATTACAGTAAAAGACTTACCACAAGTATCACGTATAGTATATTGAGTATTAGAGTGAAAGACTTACCACAAGTATCACGTATAGTATATTGAGTATTACAGTAAAAGACTTACCACAAGTATCACGTATAGTATATTGAGTATTACAGTAAAAGACTTACCCCAAGTATCACGTATAGTATATCGAGTATTAGAGTAAAAGACTTACCACAAGTATCACGTATAGTATATTGAGTATTACAGTAAAAGACTTACCACAAGTATCACGTAAAGTATATTGAGTATGATTGGTGTCTGTTGTAATATTACTAACGCTCATCAGCTGGTTACTACCAACTTGTTTTCTCCATCTAGCTCTTCTGTTACTGAACCATACCTGTAATATAATAGAGTTTTACTTCCTACTGTATCTTCATGTGTTAATGGAACAGAATGGTGTATAAGGTTCTTCTGTTCTGTATTTTATTGGACTAATGAAATATTCTACTGTTCTGTATCTTATTGGACTAATGAAATATTCTACTCTTCTGTATCTTATTGGACTAATGAAATATTCTACTGGTCTGTATCTTATTGGACTAATGAAATATTCTACTCTTCTGTATCTTATTGGACTAATGAAATATTCTACTGGTCTGTATCTTATTGGACTAATGAAATATTCTACTCTTCTGTATCTTATTGGACTAATGAAATATTCTACTGGTCTGTATCTTATTTGACTAATGAAATATTCTACTGTTCTGTATCTTATTGGGCTAATGAAATATTCTACTGTTCTGTATCTTATTGGACTAATGAAATATTCTACTCTTCTGTATCTTATTGGACTAATGAAATATCCTACTGGTCTGTATCTTATTGGACTAATGAAATGAAATAAACCCCTCCCCAACCCTGTTCTCCCCTTCAACCTTATCTCACGTCTTATCTCATATGAGTTGAAACTAGTTTGTAAATGATAATGAACCTTACCTGAACCCGTGCCTCTGTTAACTTGGTACGCTGTGCTAGTTCTTCTCGGGTATAAATATCAGGGTAGTGTGTCTTCTCAAACACCTTCTCTAGTTCTTCTAACTGTTCTCCACTAAATGTTGTCCGGTTCCGTCTCATTTTTCTAGTTATATGTAACAATGGACTTAGATTCGTTACTCTGGAATCTAAAACAGCAACAGAATGATATAGAATTCTATTTCTATGAGAGACGTCTAAATATTGATTTTTTGACATTATTTTCAGAATCGCGTATTACCAACAATTTTCATAAAAATTGAAACATTTTTTTGAAATAGTCTTGATAATCAAAGATTCGCTTTGAAAAGTGAACCATCTTTAACATATTATTGGTTTTCTTTGAGACAAGTGAGTTATGACAGAGAAGTGTCAGCGTGGCTATTTTAATTATTAGAAGATATTCTAAGACAGGTGGTAGGTAACTAAAAATTATAATTAGAAATAAAAATTTCATGAAATGACCGAAAAAAATCAATTTTTAGCTCACTTTAAATATTTTTAAGACGTATCGTACCTTTAGTGGTATCATTAGAGTCATAAACATCATCTTCAACAACCGCAGATTCATCATCGTCATCATCTTCAACATCATCATTACTAGTTGTTTTAATAATTTTACTGATAACGCTAATACTAGGTACGGTTTTCTTATCACAAACTCTGTCACTGATCAGTTGATCTCGAATCTCCCAACTAAATGCATTGGGATTCTGTTGTTTTAACTCCTGTACTCTGCGTTCTACATCTCCAGTGGTCGACCTTGGTTTGCTACCTCCAATAATCCCAGGTTGGATTGTCCCCGTCTCCTGATAGCGCTGTAATATTTTCGAAACGCAGCCGTGAGAGACTCGGAGTTGACGACTGATGACACATGGTCTCACTCCCTGGGCTGCGAGTTCAACTATTTTTAACCGGATATGACTGGGTAGTGGCCGACCGTTGATAAAAACTCCACCCAGCTGATTGACCCGCCCTTGCCCTGAAAACAAAAAACAACAAAATCCAATGAATTTGATGAAATAGCAAACTTAATACAATACATGTCATCAAAAATTAAAAAAAAAAAAAAAACAGCCAGTGTCCTGTAGCCTAAGAATTTGTACTATAAAGAAATAATAAGAGCATGGAAAATGAAAATCATACATAACTTGAGGAAATGAATTATATGAAATCTCCTATCTCGGCTCTGAATTGAAAACCACATTAGCAAATAATAATTTAGATTTAGAATAAAAATGGAGCTGGGATCATAGTAAAATATTCAACTTTTAAAACTTTTGACTATAACTTCTTGGACGTTTTTACAAGAAAATCTAATGATGAAAAATCGATATAAGTGTAGAATTTTACATAAAAAATAACACACCTACAAAAAAGTGCACTGAGCACAAAACATCATACAGATACAGAACCTTGTTCTTAATCAATTTTATTTCTCAAATTATAATCGTCGCTATATAAAACCTACTTCTATTACAGGTTCCACTAAATGTAATCTACTTACAGAGATAAAATAAAACAGAAAACAAACCTTTAATACTCATTAGATCCATAAAATCGATTGGTTTCAGTTTAAAGTTTATAAGAATAGAGTAAGATAGAGAAATAATGTACCGTTATATCTTAATTGTTAGCAGGTGCGTGATGGGCCATATTTTATATAAATATTTTAACTTACTGATAACCATCCTTCGTGGACTGACATAATATCACTCCTTGTTACTTGCATTGGTGCATATTTTATTTTTCTAGGCATCCTGGAAAAATTTACCTAATTGTGCACTACGCAGCATTAGCAGTCTTCATTAGGCAAAAAACCGTTTTATTTATATTAAGAATATTTGTAATGTGAACTCTTTGAAGAGGATGCCAATTCGACAAACTCTGTCGCAAAATGGTGAATAATGATGGCGTTTAAGTCAACTATAGGAGGCATTGTTATACAACACTCGTTTTTAATTATTTTAACATTAACTCCAATTCATTTCATATCCTATTTTTCCTAATTGTATATTTTATAGGAATAAACAGTTTGTGGGCTGTCTGATTAAGTGTCCAGGATTCAAATATATTGACGGCCAATGATATACACACCATGACAAAACTTAAAATCTAACTATCACCAGGAACCATATCGGATTCAAATTCAAAGGATCAGACTAATATTAAATCCACGATTTACACCTCAATGCAATAATTAAACAACATATTGAAAAATTCAAAACTAAAACCACGGTCAATGATATAATTACAGCCATTACAAAACATAGAATTCGACCAACATCAGGAACAATATCGAATACAGTTTAAATAATCACATTATTTTGATTCTAGAGGCCTAATTTATAATTATGAATTGATCTCGATACAATAATTAAAGTGATACTACGTCTTAGAATGAACATCAAATTCTGAAGAATGGTCAATATTAGTATATATTCATCAGTAAACATAAAGTTACAACAGAATCCCTGTAAAATCTGGAAAATTGGAAACTGAGTAATTATTGAAAAACACTTTAACTTGATATTAAGCGTTTTTCAATAGTTAATTGTATATTTATGGATAATTACTAATTTTTTTGGATTTATCGGATTATATAAGGATCCTGTTATGTTATTTATGACACCAGGTATATCTACTGATGAATATATGTTCTTATTGGTCAAGTTTAAAATTCACGTTCATTCTAAGACATAGACATTAGACAAAAATTTAAGTAATCTCATTACATACATTAAATAAATATTATCTAAAATTTAAAAAAAATACAAGCCAATCCTACCTTCTAATGGTAACGGGGAATGAAATAATCCGAAATCTGGAAGAGGGAATGAAATAAATGAACCGAACATTGTCTAACCTTTACTCCATGCTTACACACTTTAAATGACTTTTGACAAAACTGAAAATTTCAATTAATTTTGATAAAAAAAATCATTTTTTGATAATTTTCAATCGTTGGTTTTGATTGGTTAATGTGATCACGTGGTGTATGAAATCCCGTCGTGAGCCAGTAAAGCATGCAGTAAAGAACGATGTCGCGCCTCGTTGAAAGACTTGAATACGAATTATGAGATTATGCATGCCTGAATTAAATTTCTAATTTCATACTACTTACAATATAAAACATTTAATTTACATGTTGTGACACTCTCGGCTTTCCATTACTGAACAAATACAATGCCTAGCTCTTGACTTTTGAGAGGTTTTAGTTTTAGTGAGAGCTGCAGCACCTGCAACCTGTTATGTATTCTGTATTCTCTAGAACTGTGGATTGCAGAAATATGAAAAGAATTCAGGATGGCATCTTTTACTCGAGTTTCACAAGAGTTTTTTTTGTAGAAGTAATAATAAACTTGGAGCAAACAATTAGGTTTCAGAGCTTAGAGTAAAATCTGAGAGCTAACATTCAGGTTTGGCAGCTAACAATACGGTTTCAGAGCTAACAATACGATTTCAAAGCTAACAATACAGTTTCAGAGCTAACAATACAGTTTCGGAGCTAACAATAAAGTTGTACAGTTAACAGAAAGGTTACAGAGCAAACAATAAAGTTTCAAAGCTAACAATAAAGTTTCGAAGCTAACAATAAAGTTTCAGAGCTAACAATAAAGTTTCAGAGATAACATACCTATAGCTATTAATATTTCAGAGCTTGCTTTTAGGGCAACGACAAGCTAGAATCTCTGGGACTGAAACCGAATCAATGTTCTTTCTATTAGTGCTTTGGACAAAAGGTAAAAGGCTGATATTTTTAGGTTCCGTCAATGCCACGGTTCCCAACCTTGGGTGTTTTCATCCCCTGGGGGTGTGGGACTAGGGTATCAGGGGTGTGGACAACTGGTTTAGGAGCAGAATTTATTTTGAATTGAGAGAGCACTGTGGATGAAACAAATTTTTTGGGGAGTAAAAGATTGGGGATTGCTCCGGGGGTGTGAAGGCTGAAAAAGGTGGAGAACCACTGCTTTAAAGAGATGGGAATTTCTAAACCATTTAATTTTGTGGAAATATTTTATCTCGTCTCCTGAAAACTTTTAATTCAAATTCCAGTGTTGATTTTTCAACGTTTTTACATTTTTTCTTTGAAATTTGAAGTTAATTTGAAGATGAGATCGACTCCTGCTTTAAGATGGTTTTTTAAGTTTGAAATATTAAAAGGGGTGGGAGGCAATTTGAAACGCCAAACACAAATTAATTAGATATCATAATAACTCTTTATAATTTTATAGAAGAGATGATCGAATTGCCGAAAAAATCTGGCGAAATTAATCTGCAAAGGATGATGATTTTCATTGACAAGAATTCAAAACGATTTACGCTTTTATAATTTCGAGTCACGTCGGCGCAGCTTGATTCCAAGTGGCACAATAAGATTTAACGTCAAGAAAGATGCGGTGTAAATGAGGAAAACTGACTTAAGATCTCGTACGGCGACGTCTCAGCATGCTATTATAGAATATCGTTAGGATTTCAATGAAATTATCATTAGGACGATTCGCCTTTTTTGAAAGATAGAAAGCTAATTGTGAAGTGCTCGTGAAATGAAATTTAGATAAACACTAAAGAAGAAGTGAATTGTTAGTAATTTATGAACAATCGCAGCTCTGTGTTAGAAGCAAAAGGTCTAGCTTGCGTGTCAAGTAATTTTCTAGTAAAAGAAAAACTTTACGCCGAGTTAGAAAAGGTATTTAAGATCCTAACTTGGCTTTTCTTGTCGGTAATATGGCTATGTAAAAAATACAATGAAACAGCACGGTGGTAATAGAATTAGAAGGATCTAGCGAGGACAAGGCGTGACTTAACCCTCTATCTGTCACTTCATAGTAAATGATCGAGCGCCGAATTGGCGACAAAAATTAATGCATTCTTCACAATTTATTCGATATGTGTAAAATTTATTATTTTTTTTATTTATGAATTAAAAATGGACTCGATCAAAACAGAAAGCTTATTATAATTAGTCCGATAATTCAGGTCCTACCTGTTTCTCGGATGTGATTTTCAGATGTGATATCAGCACGTTTAATTTGGGGCGCTAGTTTTTGAGAATTTTCAACATGACAAAAGCCAATTTGGCATAAAGTTTCGTAAATATACAAAGCTTAATCGTTAACAATTCCATCAAGACATTGCCGTATTTTCTACAATTACCCTGTGGCCCACTCAGTACCAATTAGCACCATTCCAATTTTCAATCAAACGTCAGTGGTTTCCGCAATTCCACTAGAGTTTGATGATGTCACTAATCGCAAAGTTCCTTATGTGATACGAAGATACGAGCATTTTGCAGTTTGTGATGCCATTAAACATTTAGTATAAGTGGAATTGCAGGAACCACACATTGAAGATGTCTGATTGAAAATTGGAATGGTGCAAATTGATGCTGCACATAGAAAATTTAGAAAACATCTTTACAATCCCTTTAAGATAGACTTTAACTTACGGAGAGGTAGGACGAAGTGTAAATTCCTCTGTAGAATGTCTGGCAATGTTTTGATCAGAAAGTCAAATTTGTAATACAGTGGTGTAACCTATTTTCGTGGATATAAGGATTCAACACCAAATTTCGTCATAGTTAAAAAAACGAAAAAAAAATTTATGTCTTAGAAGTTTCCTCAGATATTCTGCAAAATAATTTAAATTGGTTTATTTCGATTTTCTTTATGAATCCTTCACTTTCACCCATATTTCATGAGCAACGAACTCGACAACAGCGGCAGAATGCGTCACCTATTTTCGTGTACAATGTACAATCTATAAATAAGTCTAGAAAAACACGTTGTATGGATACTGGGTGGTATAATTAACTTCTCTAAGTATTTATCTTTAATATCAATTCATTATAACTAGTGACAATTCCTTCAAAGAACCACGATTTAAAAAAAAAAATAGTGACTGACAAAATATGATACGTAGCGTGATTTATTGCTAAAAGTCACTGAAACAACATAAGAATATGGTCCACTTTGTGTTCCAT